CAGCGCTGGCTCTTCGGCTTTGAAACGGAGATGAGCACCGCAACCCTAGAGTCGGATTCGACTGGCTTTCGAGCAAGGGAACCTTTACCTTTAAATATGTTGGTGGGCTAGTCAATGGAACAGACTTGCTTGTGTTTCTTGGACTCTTGAGGAACAGTTGATATTTATTTATTTATAAATTAAATTAACGGATCACCCAATCCCTGAGTTCACAGTGCTCTGGGCAATGTACAACAGTAAATAAAATACAATATAAACCATGAAGTCACAATAATAAATCATTCAATACAATCTTAAAAACAGTTCCCAGATGGCGCCCATGAATCAGATTTTAAACCCGTTCCAGACTGTGTTGCTACCTCACAGACAGGGGTAGGGAAGGCGCTGAAAGGAAAGAAAAGATGGAATAAAGGAGGGGGTTCTAGCCATGTGAGAGCCCATTACTGTCCCTCAACCAAAAGCCTGGTGGAACATCTCTGCCTTGCAGGCCCTGTGGAACTGCATTAAATCCCCCAGGGCCCTGGTGGAATTTGGCAGAGAGTTCCACCAGGTTGGAGCCAGGGCCGAAAAAGCCCTGGTTCTGGTCAAGGACAGACAGATACCTTTGGGGCCAGGGATCACCAGCAGATTATTCACAGCAGAGCATTATGCTCTTTGGGGGACATGACAAAGGAGGCGGTTCTGAAGATATGTGGGCCCATGACCGCTCACGGCCTTAAAGTTCAGTACTGAACCTGACTCAGTACTCCACTGGAAGCCAATGTAGCTAGTGCAAGCATAGATTGAATGTGTGCCATCCATGATGTTCCCGTCAAGACTCACGCCGTTGCATTTTGGATCAGTTGCTGGGTCAGTCTCAAGGGCAGGCCAGCTTTTCCCGGGTGGGTTCCAGCATTTCTCAAACATTATGTGCAGATGGCTTCTTATGGAAGGGGTTATTACCATCTTGCACTTCTGTATCTTCAAAGTTTTTCTATTTTCTATTTTCCACTGATCTGATGTTAGATGAGTTCTCAAGGATACTATTTGCAAGTCCAAATCAAGCACTCTGTGAGTCAAAAAGTACAATCTGCAACTTCACACTGCAAATTGAGCAAGCTATGTGAATTACACAGAGCATGTAAAGATTGTTTGACTTATTAGATGCAAGCTTTAACCAGCATCAACAGACTTGATAGTAGACTTTTCCTGGATTGTATTCTTAGCAAAGAATGAACTATTTGTAGCGTGTTTTTATTTTACCCTTCCCTTCAAGGAGGTCAGAGCAGTAGACATGAAGATGGGCAGGAAATAATAGATTGAAGATGGCACTTCATTACTTAAAGCCTTTTTTCATGCCTTCTCTAGCCTCTGGTGGGGGAAAGGGAAGGCAGAAGATGCAAACAACAACATTGAAACCAAGAAGGAGGAGCCTTAAGCTAGTTGTGAATTAGAAGGCTTTCTCTGGCAGTGCTAAAATCTTGATAAATGTTGTATACTTTAGTTAAATCTTTCTTTGGACATAATAGCACTGTCTATTTTGCTGTTGTTGGTTTTGCTCAAAGGAAATTTTTTGGTATCCTTGCTTTTGAATAAAATTGAGAAGTCAGATCACAACATTTACCTTATTGTTTTTTACCATGGTAGTAAAACAGTGAGTTTGAAGCATGGGGATTAAATGACTTGTCCGAAACTAGGCCAAACTCGAAAGTGGAATGGAGGTCAGTATTCCAAGTACTCTGTTATGACCATTAGATTGAGTGCGCCGTAATCTCATAGGTAAATCCCCTATAAAACAGTTGTAATATACTCAGTGCTGCAATGCATGCTAACTGTTTTTGTTCTTTCTGTTTACTTTTTCCAGGTTATATTTCACACTATGTGCTGACTGTCTGTACTTACAGAAGATATTTAAAAACAATTTTTTTTCCAAAAAATTTGATTCCAGTGGAATCTGTGCTTTAAATTTTGTCTTGTGAATTAACGCCTGAAGCAATGCCTGTACAAGCTCCACAATGGACGGATTTTCTCTCCTGCCCTATTTGCACACAAACCTTCGACGAAACGATCCGGAAGCCCATCAGCCTGGGCTGTGGCCACACAGTCTGCAAGATGTGCCTGAACAAGCTCCACCGGAAGGCATGCCCCTTTGACCAGACCACTATTAACACAGACATCGAGCTTCTTCCCGTGAACTCTGCTTTGTTGCAGCTTGTGGGGGCTCAGGTAAGGTCACCTTCATTTGGGTCGATTTATTCTTTGACCCACCCCACACACTTGTTTTCCCCACAGATATTTTTACTGAGGGGAGGGCACGTAATCATGCGAAGAAAATATCCAGTTGTAGTCAGCGTGCTTCAGATTGAGCATTTAAATAGTATGGTTCTGAATTAATGTCTTATGTTTTTATGTGGTTGATTGTAATGGCCTTTGGTCATATACAATAAATGCTACTTACCCGTGTAGTTCTCAAATGTATAAAAGTTTCAGGAGATGCAAGGAGAGCAGAGAAAGGAAAGGAACTAACAGCCATTGGGGTGCAGATGACTTTTCCAAAGTGATGGTTATCTCGCCATTGTTTTTCATGATGGTTAGATAAGCCAGTGAACATTTACTGTGTGAAGGAACAGTGTGAAACTGTATGAATGTACATATGAAAATTGTAAATCTCCTCTCTAAAAGTCTAGTTGTATTTATAGCCCGCTAGATTCCCAAGGCCCAGTTTCTGATTACAGTGGCTTAATTCTGATCATGGCAAACTATGTGTTTATTGTATTTCTTAACCATGGTTTGGTGTGATGTCTGAATTAACAAACGCTAATTGCTCCATGGAAAGGGGAATATAATTATAAGATGAGGGGATGGAAAAGGAAAACAGACAAGAAGCTCTAAACCACAGTTTTCCTGCTTCAGTGTTTGGAATCTCAAACCTTGGCTTGGCTTCTGTAATGTGTTTGATGGAAACCAAGGTTTCACATTTTTAAAATCACTGTGGCTTAGGTCTCTGTTGTTCCTGTATTGCAGACGTAGAAATAATGAAGAACTGACACTTGGACTGAGGTCACCTTTTCAGTTACTTGTCAGACATTCACACCGAGCATTTGATACCTTTATTTAATTTCTAGACCATAGTTCATGATGTCTGCAGAATACTGTGATGAGCAGTCTCAGGAGCCTATAATGGCCGGTTACAGGTTTCTATAACAAGGCCTGGAAGAGTGGATTTGACATTTTGCAGTGTCTCCCAATACATTTGCCTTAGTTTATTGCCTGTTGGTTAGAAGCACAGCAAACATTTAGGATTACTGCTCGGTCTTTTTGTATATTTTCCCTTGTTAAGTGTTTCCCTTGGCCACTGTTTTTCTTGGCTTTTTATTTTCTGTCCAAGGAGTATTCTTTACTATAATAGTTGCCAGTTATTTCCATGACTCATTGCTGTGTTCATTGAATGTAAATACTTGGTTGTCATCAGGTTGTCTAAGGTCTTTTTGTATTGCCAACTGTAAGATCTTCTGCAATGGTTTTGTGTAATAACATTTGTTGGTGGCATGTGTACTTTCCTTGAGAGTTTTGAGTGACTTCTTATCAAAGTGATTTCTTGTCAAGTATGTACTGCAGAAAATAATCAGTGTTCATGCATGTTACTATTATGACGGTTTACCTATATTACCTAATGCAGAACATTTTAGGAAATCATAGAATCATACAAATATTGCACAATTACACCAGTCACTAATGAAATTTAGCTCCAATTTTTCCAATTTTTAACAAATATTGCCCCCCTTGCATTCCACCCCCTCCCCCATTATTAGGTTTTAATTCTTTCAAAAACCCTTTATTAAGCTAAAGGTTTACAAAAGAAAATATGCACAACGTGAGTCAGCTTTGAAAACAGGGCTGTGGCAGATTGATAGTAAAGGGCCATCTGAGGTCTTCTTGACACAGGACAAGGTGTGCCACAAGGGTTTTCTTTACAGGCCTAGCTTGGTCCTTCTCCAGTGCCACCTTTTGGAGTTGTATCTGGTCTTATTGCTAGTTTTCATATGGATCTACTGTGGGATGGGCCAGTTCTGTTTCTGCTTTTTAACAAGAATCCCTTTGATCTTGAACATCTTGTGAGAGGACATGGCAAAGATTTGCCAACCGGTCACAATGTCGCAGCGGAAGAGGGTCCTCCTTATGTTTTCTTAACTGTACTATCTGAGTTAACTTAGATAATGTTGTTGTTAACCCATACCTTTTCCACCCAATACTTTAAATATAAATATCTAGTGCTTTTTGCCCTGATCTGGATCGCCCAGGCTAACCTGATCTTGTCAGATCTTGGAAGCTAAGCAGGGTCAACCCTGGTTCATATTTGGTTGGGGGACCACCCAGGATGTCCAAGCTTTCTGTGCAGAGGCAGGCAGACCACCTTTATTGGTCTTTGCCTTGAAAAATCTACAGGGTCGCCACTAGGGGTGTGCATTCAGATCTACCCAAGCCAAAACTGTGCCTGAAAAAATACCTTATCAATATTTTTCGGGTATATTTTGGCTTCCCAAATATATCGAGTTTTTCTCGGGAAAACTGAGGGAGGGGGAATCCCAAGAAAAAAGGTTTAAAGGGACTGCAGAAGACAGACCATTCCCACTGGCTTGGCTTGGGGCTGGCTTCTCGTGCAGCCCAGTTTAAACCAGGCTGCAAGAGAAGCCAACCCCAGAAGCTGCTGTGCCGCAGGGAGCAATCCTGTGTTGCAGGAGAAGCCATCACAGCCAGGTCTGTATATGGTGGGGAGAGACCTCCCTGTGGCACGGAAAACCTGAGGCCAGCTTCTCCTAAAACACGGTTTAAACCATGCTGCAGGAGAAGCCATCCCAGCCAGGTCTGTGTATGGCGGGGAGAGACCTCTCTGCGGCACAGAGATCCTGGGGCCAGCTTCTCCTGCAGCACAGTTTAAACCTCACTGGGGGAGAAGCCAAGGATTGGGCTGGCTGGCGCTTTTTTATGTGGTATTTTTCTTCTTGGGTCTATTGGACCCCCCCAAAATTTGGGATTTCTGAAAAATCCCAGATCCGAATATCATATTGGTATTGGGATCCGAGATTTTTAAAAAAACACTGATTTTTTTTCGGGCCCAATAGACCCAAACCGAAAAATACCGATTTTAAAAAATTGCACACCCCAAGTCACTGCAAGTGAGCTGTGACTTGACAGCACTTTCCACCACCCACCATCTATTGCTTTTCTAGTTCAAATTTCAAAGAATTTATTTATTTATATTTATTTACATGTTAAATTTGTTAATTGCCCAATCGCTGCTAATGCAGGGCTCTGGGAGATGTACAACATTCATTTAAAAATATCAAGATAAAACAGTAAAAACATTAATAACATGTGTCAAACAAATAGATGGTGTGTACTAATTGATCCAATTTCAGACTGCTGGCTGCTTCACGGGCAGGGGAGAGGAGGGCAAGGCAGATATAAGAAGCAGCAGGAGAGGAGGGAAACAGTTGCTGTCCTTAACCAAAAGCCTGGCGAAACATCTCTGCTTTATAGGCCCTGCGAAATTGCGTCCTGCAGGGCCCTAATGGTATTTGGCCGAGAGTTCCACCAGTTGGTGCCTGGAATGAAAGTTCTTGTCTTAATAACTCCATTGCTTTTCTGGATGGTTCATTTTGAGTCAACATATATATTTTTCCTCAGGATTAAAAAAAGATGTATTTATCTAAATTTTCATATCCTGCTTTCCCCCCTGCTGAAGACCCAAAGTGGCTTATGAGGAAAAAAGTAAATAACCAGCAACCATAAAATCCAGCACAGCTCCAGGGCTGGTCTGGGATCCAACTGGGCTGGTGTACTCTAGGCACAGGCCCTTGCCAAAAGGTTCAGGCCTATGGCCATGCCCAGCCTTTAGTACTTGGCATGGGAAGTGAAGCAGAAGCTCAGCCAGTTTGGTGTAGTGGACTCTGGGAAAATCGGGTTTGATTCTCCATTTCTCCACTTGCAGCTGCTGGATGACCTTGGGCAAGCCATAGTTCTGTCAGAGCTGTTCTTGAAATCACAGTTCTCAGAGCTCTCTCAGCCCCACCTACCTCACAGGGTGTATGTGGTGGGGAAGGGAAGGGAAAGGAGATTGTAAGCCACTCTGAGACTCCCAAGTGAAGGGCAGGGTATCAGTCCAATCTCTTCTCTTCTTCATCTTCTGCCGCTGGCGGACATGTTCCCAAGATTCTTCTCCCTCATATTTTGGAGAGGAAATAGAGGATTGTTTAGCAGATTGTTGTTTATTTTCCAGAATAAATCTGTTGAATCCTTGCCTGGAAAGGGTGAGGTGTTATATAAGAAGCTCATAACTTAAAATATTTTGAGGCAGAACTTTTATTTTTAATTAAAGGTGACTTTTAAAAAATCTATAGCCCTGACTATTGATGAAAACATAGACTGGTGGTGTATTTGTAGTAACACAAGCTTGTGTCATGAACACTTTTGAGATCAGTTCCCCCCCCCTCTTTTCAGTATTAGGGGGTTTAAATATATAAATATGCCTGACAGCAACACATGGATGGGAAGCAATTTCTGAATAAATGCTCAGTCACTTGTTCTGTGGAATTAAGAGTTGCCAGCTGGCCTGGAGAAAAATGTCCGGTCCCTTTAATGGAGGCTTAATGGAATGTTATTTACCAGATGATGTGACTTACCTTCATGCCAGGAAAAGCTTCACCTCCCCCATTTGCACACATTAAGCCTCTATTAAAGGGGCAGGACATTTTTCTCTAGGCCAACTGGCAGCCCCTATGGTGAATAGCTGGAAATTAAAGGAATTATTTAAAGAATACTCTTGGGTATGTTTAAATGTGTAAATATACCTAGTAACAATGCGTGGATGAAAACATTTTCTGAATAAACACTTAGTCAGTTCTTATATGGAACACTTCATGGAAATTAAAGGAACTATTTAAGCAATAGTTGTAACCCCTTCTAAGGGGTTATATAAAAATTAGAGCTGGCACAGTATTGATTAAGCTCTACTTGATTGTTCATATGAAATCGATTAAATTGGCTTACTAATAAAAATACTTCCAAAGAAAAACACTTTTTTTTGTTTGTTTTATTACTGATGCAGAGACATGTTATAGCTTGGACTCTCTGCCTGCCACTCTCACTTAGGCTGCGGTCACATGGAGCATTAGCCATGCTACTGAGATGGATGATAGGCGGATTTTCCGGGCACGATCACACCGCAACATCTGGGAAGCGTAGAGCTCCCATGGCGAACCCGAGGCTTCCCGCCGAAGATGCGGAGTTAAAAACCTCCGAGGTACTAGTTTCCAGAAACCGCGGGGCAAGGGCTGGCGTCTGATCGTGTTTCCGGTGATAGTCCGTGGCATCCGACGCCCGCCCATGTCCCATTGCAAACAAGTCTCCACAGGATGCGCACAAGTCTCCACAGGATGTGCAGAAGCACCTAACGGCACATGCGCATGAAGAGGAAAGCGAAACTTCCGTTGCTCCGCAGAATCGCGCATACCGTTGGTGAGATCGCGCTGCGCCGCTTCTTTGCCGCGCTGCAGGATCGTCGTGTGATCGCCACCTCCCCCCGAACCATGGGACGTGGGATCCGGCGGCCGCGCATGAGTTTGCTCCGGGGCAAACAGCCACGCTTCCCCCCCGCATTTTCCGGCCCGTGTGACCGGGGCCTTAGTAATGTTTTTGAAGCAACTAGCTGTCACTGTAGAAATTTGTGGCCTGATTATCATGGGAAACTTCTTAGTTTATCAAAAGGTTTTTTGATTGATTAAATCAAACTGACAAAAACAGTGAATTTTGAAAGGTTTGGTGCATGTCTTGCATTTTTGTTTTGAACCTTAGCCTTAAAAGGACTCAAAGCCAATAAATAAATAAATAAATGCAAATTTGGCACTGTGTCATTATATTAAATTAAGGAATGTAAGGAAGAGTGAAATGCTTTGCAAGTGTATAGCACTTTAAACAGGTAGAGATGGTTAGGATAACGGCTTTGAGTTTGGCAGCACTGTTGCCATCCTTTTTCAGATTGTATGTGCTTTGTTGCACTAATTCACTTCATCCTTTTCACAGGTGCCAGAACAGCAGCCAGTACCTCTGTGCAGCGGTGCTGAGAATACCAAGCATTATGAGGAGGCCAAGAAATGTGTGGAAGAACTAGCCTTGTACCTTAAACCACTCAGCAGTGCTAGGGGTGAGTCAGTGGTCTACTAGCTTTTTGATAGAAAGTGAAAACTCTCAAAGCAACAGCTGTCTCTAAAAACTTCAGCGATGCCGTAGCACCTTCAACTGAGAAAACAGTATGCTTTGAAAGCTGAAGCAAGTAACAAGAAAAGTAGGAAACCCCCCACCTACTTTTTTCATTCTTACAAATAACATCGTAGCACTTGCTATTCTACCTTTTAAAAAAACAAAACTAGCCAACTTGCCTTCACAATAGATGGCTGTGCAAACTTAGACACCAGTGACCTAAAGAAAGAAAAAAGGGAACTGAGTCCTTTCCAATGCTGAAAAGTTGCTTGGTCTGCTAGAGGAGACCCATGACCGTGGGCTACCCAACAGAATGCTCGTTTGCAAGTTTTTAAGATCGGTGATTTGGATATTGCTGAAAGTTACTAGCATTCTGCCAGGACAAAGAGATGCCAGCCTATTTCAAGCAGGCAATGATTATGGGAGTTGGTGCATAATCTTGTTTTGGAATAGCATATCAGGCTTTGCATGGACAAGTTATATTGCACAGGTTTTTTGTTTGTTTTTGTTACTAGGCAGTTACAGTATAATCATTGCACATGCTTCTTACTAATACTAAAATACTTCTAACTAATATGTAAGCCAACTGATACTTGATGACATGAGCATCTTTAATTTCTCCAGGGTTTTGTCAATGGCAGCCTTTTAAAAAGGCCTTTAATTTCCTAGCTGTCCATGTCCTCTTTGCACGTATTATATGCTTTAGATTGTAAGCTTTCAAGCAAGATTGTGTGAGAGTGTCTGCTTGTAGCCATTGTTATAATAACTGGAGTCCCATGAGTGTCCATTCACTGCCTTCAGTCTCCTTTATATTTTTTCACCCTCTGCAGTTTGTTCAGTGAATTTATGTGCTGCTTTGAGAACTTTTGCTCCAAAGTGGTTTATAAATTTTGCCACCTTGTACATAGGTCTGGCTAGGTCTGCTGAAGAGAGTGATGTGGATCTATGTATCAGCAATCGTTCCTTTTCAGCATGGCATCAAACTCAGACGTGGCATGTGTTAGGCTTTTGCCTACAACAAAAGAGTATACTTACTGATGTTGATTTTTCTGAAGCTACATTGCCTAAGCTTTCTGACAAAGGGAGCTTTGACTTTTAAAAGCAGGCCCATAGCCAGGATTTTTTTATTCGGGGGGGGGCTTGAAATGTCGGGGGGCACCCCCCCACACACACACGAAGCAAGCAGCCCCGCTCCCACCCTTCCCTGCAACTCACACCCCAGCTGGTCTCTGCAAGCCTCATGGCTGGAGCAGGCATGAGGCAAGGAAGGAGAGGCTAGCCAAAGCTCCGGGTGCCACTCGGGGAAGGGGAGCCATGTCACCCTTGAGAATAGTTCTTGCTTGGTTGTGATTTTTTCTCAGCAAGTGGCAGCATGCAAACTGTATATTTAGTTGTGCTTCTGTTCTTGGAAATGAGGTGTGGTGAAATGGCTCTACATCTAGTAATGATTCCTGATTACCTGTTCATGAACATACGGAGGCTCTTTTATCACCAGTTTAGAGAACGCTTGGTTGACCATTTGGGTGAGTTTTATTTAGTATATGAATCGACAATTCAGCATCAGTTGTTCAGAAGAAAATTACATACTGTTTAGATGATGCATGCTCATGTTAAAGGAGAAAGAGGAATGCATCTTCACAAACAGAGCCTTTTGTAGTATGAGACTGTGTGATCTAAAATGCTACTTTTCCCCCCTAAGGGACCATTTTGTACATACACGTTTCTGACTACCTATGTTTAAAATTGGTAATGATTTTCTAAAAAATCTGACAGTTATTCAGAGGCATCTTTTAAATAGGTTGTATAAACGTTTCTGCCGTACTTAGTGCCATTCAGCTTCCTTTGTAGTAGTTTTCTTACACATTTACCCTGGGGCAGCTTCTTGATGTGTGTGTGTTTGTGTGTGTTTAGCACGAGGTAGTGTCACAGCAGAATAATCAAAACACCACTTGAGAACATTTAAAGGCCCGTGTTGTAGATGCTGACTGAATCACCACTGCAGTGTTCTTATCCTGAATGAACCAAAAGTATGTCCTTGGGGAATAAACATCCTACAAGTCATAACGCCCTAAGATCGGACTGCCCTTCCACTAAGCACCCCAAAGGGGACCATGGCAAACCCCCTAGAGCCCTGTTAGAAATAACTCCCTTGTTTTTCTCTTTACAAAGGTGTTGGGCTGAACAGCACCACCCAGAGTGTACTCAGTCGCCCTATGCAGCGGAAGCTGGTGACCTTAGTCCACTGCCAGCTGGTGGAGGAAGAAGGGCGGATCAGGGCGATGCGAGCCGCGCGGTCGCTAGGAGAAAGGACGGTCACAGAGCTCATCCTCCAGCACCAGAACCCCCAGCAACTCTCCTCCAACCTTTGGGCTGCAGTGAGGGCCAGAGGCTGTCAGTTCCTTGGACCAGGTGTGTACCAGTCAAGCCGTGCCCATTTGACGTGGTAACAAGAACTAAGAGAAGTAGGGTTCACCAGTTGTTTATAGGGCTGGGGGAGCAGCCGCATCGTAAAAGCACCGTATTTAAATAGATGTTTATGCTCCACTATGCTCCCCCCCCCCCCCCCCCCCGTGGCAGCCAGTGTTCCCTCTAAGTGGAGTTAGTGTGAGCTTGCTCACAGTTTTTTAGCCTCCGGCTCACACATTTTTGTCTTCGCTCACAACTCACAAAGTAGAATTTTTGCTCACAAGACTCCACAGGTTAGAAGGAGCATTGGTGGCAGTCCAAAGCAGCTTATGATATCTTTTATCCTCGCAACGACCCTGTGCGGTAGGTTAGGCTGAGAGAATGTGACTGGCTCTAGATCATACCAAGCAAGCTTCCGTGGTGGAGTGGAGATTCAAACCTGGATTTCCTAGATTCTAGTCAGACAGTCCCTGTACCACCCTGGGAATCTCATCCTGAGTGCCACAGGGAGGTTCCACGCAGATGTAAAGGTTCAAAGAGGCGGGGTGGATGAAGATCTTCTGCTATGGATGAGTGGATTTCCCCTGTTCTGTTCTTGTTTTGCTGGTTCACTGTGGGCATGCATTCTCGTCCTTCTGCCTTCCAGTTTATTGGAGAACGTCTCAAGTTACTAGCAGAAGCAGAGTATCTCACGTCCTGTTCTAACTACACACCACTGGCTTTTTAATACTGTTGCATTACAACATGTGGAAATTTGATTTCTCAAAAAATCAAGGCAATCAACTCTGTCTGAAACTCAGTTCCAAGAATGTACCTGGGTGATTATGCAATTTAAACATATTTCACACACACAGAAATACAGTGTAAAATGGCTGCATTATGGAATTTTTTTAAAATATGCCTTGATCTTGACGATTCACGAAGTTCTTTGTGCACATGCAAAACATACCTTTAGTTTGTCTCTCTTCTGGCTTACATTTGGTCAAAAATCTGCAGTTTTTCCATCGTCTTGTCCAAACTAATTTGGTGAAAACCTGATGTGTACTATTCAAACTTAGGAGCTTTTTCAAAGTTGCCATTGAAAGCATTAATTGAACTAAGGGGGAGGTATGAGCATATGTGGTTCCTTATACAGTGAACATTTCCTATGGAATATCTACTTCTGGGGTCCCCTGCTGTCTTGAGCCTGCGAGCACCATTGTAATTCTGACATGGGGTGGTGGATACAGCCACAAAATGGCTGCCACAGCAGGCGGATCGAGCCACAAAATGACTGCCATAGCTTGCCTTTAGTCACCTAGTGAAGGTCCTTATGGTGTGGTAGGAGTTGCTGCCAAAGCAACATTTTTAAAAATCTGCACAGTAACAAGGCTGGTTTTTTAGAGCGGGGAATCCTAGGACAGAGTTCAAGAAAGTTGAATACACAGGCCATGCCACAGCTCTCTCACCTTTTTAGGGTGAGCCTCAGGTTTCACACTGGAATGAATGGTTGCCAACAGCCTTCCTGGACAAGCTGTTTCTGTTATGTTTGCTCTGCAGGTTCAGCCAGAGTTGCTTGTTTTGGTGACATTCTGATCAATTTTAGACAGCTCTTTACACCCCATTTTTAAGTGTTGTATAGGTTGCAATTTATTTATTTACTTCCTTATTTTATATATATTTGACTTTCTTGCTGAAACTCTAGGCAAATGTTGTTAATTTTAATTTAGTCTACTATGTTGTTAACTACAATTGACAAACCACATAGAAACAACCCTTCCCTTCCAAAAAAGAAGTGTTTTTTTTCAAAATTAACCTTTTGTGCACCCAGAAAAATACCTGCCTTTCAACATAGCAGGGGTGAGTTTTGTTAGGGGTTTATAATTTTTTTGTTCTTTGATATTGCAGAAGAACATAATATCTGTTCACATGCAAAATGAAACCAGAAATTAAAATATTTCACACATGCTTTTTCTGACACATGGGAGTAACTGTGAAGTATTAAGTTTTAGCTGACTGCCACCTCCCAGCACAGGCTTTGTGTAATCCAGTAAATTTCTTCATTTTACAAAAAAATACATTAAAAACAGTTAAATAAGAACAGAGTTGAGGGACTTTAATTCACTCATATTCCAAAATTTGTGGAAGCTTTATGTTAAGATTGCCCTCTTATAGTGTTATTCTAAGAACACTTTCTTGGGAGTAAACCCTGTTGAATAGACTGGAGTAGGAACCTTAGTAGACCTGTTTAAGATTACATTATTTCTGCACTTTATGAACAAAATATACAGTGACGCTTCTTGCTTTCTTACAATTTAAGCCCCAGGTAGCTATACTTCGGCTTTCTTTTCTTCTGTGAGTTGTGGGCTCAATAATGAATACAGCATCAGTGGGGTATCACCTTTAAATAATAATTTGTTTATGTGCTGAAACTAATAACATGGAATGGCAGTAATAAATCCAACAGCAGTGCCAACCGGGATGCAAAATTTGAAAGAGCAAAGAGAGTTTAAGTGCCTGGTGCCTAAATTTGAAGCAAGCATGAAATGCCATTCAGTAAGTGTCTCTACCACTCAGATGGGGCAGAAGTTAAGATCGTAGCCTTAAATAAAAAATGTAATTTTTATAGCACATATGCATTTAAAAGTCCCTTAACTCTTTGTTTTGTCAAAGCTGTTTGGTTTTTGAATTCCACGTTTAGATGTCTGAAATTCTCTTGACTGCAACAGAACAGTCTGTTCTGTATGAGATTTTGACAGTTGGATTTTTTTTTTGGGGGGGGGGATGTTCAAGGAAGGTAAATGCATTTTTGAAGAGGAGACATGAAATGATGACACATCTCAAAACAGACCAAAGAGTAAGCAGCAGTTTTTAATCTTCAAGAGCTCTTAGGGTTCAGTAGATTGCACAATTGCCTAAAGCCCAGGAAGGATGTTCGCAATGACACCTCTGGTGGGAAGTTGTCTCACAATCTCGGGACACTATGGAAAAGATCTGCATCTTGTTGTCACTGATGTTGCGTGGATAATAAATAGATAAGACAGATGCTTGATTATTGTATGCTTCCAGCAAGAATTTTCAGCATATTTCTAGCAAGAACTTCTAGCATGTTTTCAGACTGTTTTCTGCAACTATACTAAAGATAGTCAACATAGAGTAACAAAT